TTGGATGAGAGGTGGAACGTCTTCAAGGAACTCAAGCAGGTCCAGCTGCTGATTAATCTACCAGAATCACTTCTTGCTACTTTCGACTTGGTGGTCATGACTTGAAATACAAATACTTCAGCTTTCGATTGCAGCTGCAAAATAAAATTCTTGTCGAGTCGTCCTGTTGACTGTTGTTGATCTGAAAGTTGAAGAAAGCCTCGAGTCTCACAACGAAACCCTGGAACACGTACAACACCGGAAACCTGCTCCACAAATATCCGCTGCAGCACTACGTTCAGTAAATATGTAAAGTCTATTAAAACACGCATGGAAGCAGCCTCTAGGTCAACAAGTGCACAAGACTAGCCAGCACATTTTCATAAATTTGTTTAATCTATTGTGTACAAAGTTGGATCATATTGAGTGGCGGCAGGTCGGCTGTGGCGGCGGTTAGTTAAAGCTCAGTTTGATAACCAAATTCACTGGTCGCAGAGTATTCATGACATATAGAAACACAGAAAAGTTTAGTTTTATTGGTCAACAAATCAACAGGTCTGATCTTTTAGAAGTTCAGTCAGTGGATGTGTTTAAAGCAACACCATAATACTGGTAGAAAGGATGGTTAACACTAACATATATTACATTCAAGTCTCTGCAAGAACATTCATGGAGACCAGAATAAACTTGGTGCTTCGCAGTTCGTCAGTGGATTTACCTGGATTTCCCCCCTTCGTTTCGTGTCTCCCCCACATTGTGACGAGCTCAGGATCAAGCGAGTGAAAGGAATGAAGGTATCAGAAGAATGAGACACAACCAGGACCAGTCTACGTGTCCATACACAGCGGGAACGAGTTCAGAAACTCACCGGAGCGATATCGTAATGAGATCTGTTAAGGAGCTGTTTGTTTTAGTGTGTCCTCTATATTCTTATTTTAAAAATATACGCCGTGTCATGTGACGTGAAAAGATCGTTGGGATTGAGAAACCTACAAAAATCCATCCAGTTCGTTTTATTAACAGTCCTACTTGTCTGTTTTCTGAAAGAAATGCAAAATTGAAGTAAGAAAACCTGACACCCAATAGTTATTTACAAAATGGTAGCACTGTGAGTTGAGACATTTCATCATAACAGGTTACATGCAATTTTGCGTAAAAGCTGCATTTAACAACTAATATAACATACAATCAACATAACATACACCAACCTATATAATAGATACTAACTTGCAACCTTTACATGAAATTCCACTCGCGTAAAAATAGAAAATGTAGGCCTACTCTATATCATTCACAGTGGCCCGTCAGTCTTGACTTGCATGTTCTGATATGTAGAAAATGATTGGTATGACAGCAGAGATCAGATGGAGCTTCTTCTTTTTTTTTTTTTCTTTTTTCTTTTTTAGCAGGAAGAACATATTTGGTAAAAACATACACAGAATGTTTAATAGGGTACATAAACCAAAACGCTGAATTTCAGCCCACCGTTGAACTAACAGATGGAAAAACTAGACAAGATTTTAAATACATTTTTTAGAATTAATTAAAAATTAAAATTTGATTACAAAGATTTGGCAAAGAGAGATGCATATTTGTAATGCAAAAAAAAAAAAAAAAGTAAAAATGTTACGATGGAAAGTAGAGAACTGCATTAAAACCATACTTTGCTGATTGAGTACACATTTTCCTCTAGTGAGTACGAGCCTGCACAGGTTTTGGATATGTGTGTGCCGAGTAACAACAACGAAAAACAAAAACAAAAAAAGGAAAAATGTATTAGCATTAGAGACTGGTGTTTCAAATGACAGTTCTTACCGAAGCGACATTCACGCTCTAATCTATTTCTGCTACAAAAAAAATCAAAAAAATAATCTCATCACAAAACAGCATTATGCTAATACTTCATGTTTGACATTCCTGTATATCGCTCGTATTAAACATTTCCAAACAACTGCTCTGAGTCTGCAATGGCACCTTCCTGACGCTGGAGTCAGCTCCCGCCTAGTATCCCTTTGAATTGCGTCCATATGGATGATTCTGTGTGTAATGCTGAAGCGCCAACGCGGGAAGTAGCGCTTAGGCTGCTATGATGAATGAGTGTGTTGGTGTCTTGACTTCAGACAGTCTCTGACCTGCAGTTGACATTTTACTACTTTGAAATGTGACCACAATCTTTCTCTGTGGGACCCAACAATGTGACGGCTATCGTCAAACATAACGCGGACTTTCGGAGGATTTTCCAATACTGATATAATCGTGTGTTGACAAGGTTGGCTGACCTTCGTATTTTTCGTTAAAAGTTGCATTTAGAACCCAGCACAGAGACTTCGGCGTACAAAGAGCTGGACACACACACACACAAAAAACAAAAAGAAGTTCAGCATGAGCCTAGCATAGACAGCAGCAGTCTGTAGTCCTAACCCACAAAGTCTCATGGAAAGACAAACAACACAAGCCTGCGATGCTAATGCCGTGAAGATTTCAGGCTGTACAGGGGAGGGGAGGGGGAGTTCCAAGAACAAGAAGGGTATTCCTATCAAGTGTACAAAACAAAGGAAATATCAGTAATACTCTCGACATGGGCTTCTCACAGACACCTAACCTACATGTCCCGTTGATCTACAGAAATGAACAGAAATTCACATTTTGGTTAATTAGCATTTCAGGCTACACTGTGAACTCGGTATTCTGCCAACTAGAAGCTCATCGTTGTTAGTTTTGCGCCCTAAATTGTAGAGAGGATCATCAACGAAAACGAATGCCCCGTTTGGTTTACTACGGACGCCTGTTCTTTGAAGGGAGATACTCATTTCACCAACATGCTTGTACCACCTTTAGAGAGCACGGACGCAATGACGTAGTCGTTCAACAGACGGCATGATGCACCCCCACAGCGACAAACTGCCTGATTTAACGTGTGAGTTCAGTGGGTAAAATATCTTCACAAAAACGAGAACTGTGGGTTTACTTCAGTGTTTCCCCGACCTCAGGCAGGTGGCCATACCCCCGAATGGGATACGGATGATTAGCTTAAATAAACTTCATATGCATATATATGAAATTTATTTACATTTATTCTATGTTTTTTAAAAAGTTCAGTGTTGTATTATGAGTGAAAGGGCACGTGACGTACAGGCTGACGATGAAAGTGGCACGCAGTTTCAAATTCAAACAGATCTAAGATACCGGTGGAAGAGTTAGTGTTTCACTGATTATGATACAACACGTCAGAATGATCCATAAAATATTAATTTTAAATATTGGCAGTGACTGAACAATTGAAGTTTCAAATTATGGTAGAAATCACAGTTGCTGGTACCGAAACGTGTGAGGATATAGAGAGCCAAGACACAATGATGTCGACAGAAAAAAAGAAAAAAAAAAAAGGCTTCGTCTTTGCAAAGAGTTCACCTTTGCCAACAAGGAGCTGAAAAGAGCTGAAAGAAATAGACAAGGAAATTGTAAGTCAACTGTGGTCTGCGTCTGCCAGAACATACAGAACATTCTGCTATTGGCTAATTCAATCTGTAATGTACCTGAAAAACCGGGAAAAGCAATTAGCTAGTTTGACAATAAGGTTCAACTCCCACTGGGAGTAACTAGTCAATGTGTTTCCTGTATTGAAAATAACTTCACTGTAGAACAGGAGTGAAGAGCATCGTTAGAGTTAACCGAGGTGTTTGGATGAGCCAACTTACCACAAGCCAGAAATTAGCTAAATTGAATGCACACATAAGATCCGCATTACCTTTACCTTCGAGAACATGAACTGCTTAACATTCAAAATAATGCCAATCTGTATGCATCGCCTGTTTTCGCTAACGTAGTTCCAGATCTCCTTGCATGCTATGCTTAAGGGTGCCAAGTAGGTATTCTATGATCTTAGCTCTCAGGGAATTAATGGGGTGGCTGCAAATTAATCAGTTCCTTTTAGGCACGCACTTCAGGCACCTCAAACGACCACCACCACCACCACCACATCTCAGCCTATTCCCTGGGGCGGAGGCACAGCAGTGTTCCTCCTGTATGCTACCACGTGGAGGGTGTGTCTAAGATACCGAGTCTTTGTTACCCACCGGTGGGCTCCCTCCACTTGTGACCAAATTACGGAGAAGTTTGCGTCGACCAGCCTGGTAGTCCTCCTCATCGACATTGACCAAGAGTTTTATGGCCTCGTGGCCCACGGCCTGTTTTAGGGAATCTGTGATAAAGACCCCTTTAAGGGCCTCTAGCAACGATCCATTGATGTAGTCCCTCCAGAAGGCATCCAAGTAGGTCAGCTCAGAGAACTTGATGTCACAGATGATGGAGCCCAGATCTCTGGACTTCAGGATAGTGTTGGCCTGGTTGAAGCGCTCAAACTGGCGCTCCACGGCCTCTTGCTTGTTGGAGAAGACGTTTCCTTGAAGCGCAGACTCGTGCTGGCAATACTCAGCCCGAACTCGGAGGCGAATATCTAAAAGAATAGAGGAAAAAAAAAAAAGAATTAACTGGAAAAGCCCACACCGATTTTCAATAAAAGATTCTCAAGACTCTCTAGAACCTCCTCGTCAATGATCATCATGCATATTTTTGAATTCTATTTTATTTCATATCATCGCACTGGCTCCTGTCAAAGGGGTGGGACATATTCAGCAGCTGGTCAACAGTCAGGTCATGAGATTGATGTATTGGAAGCAGGTTCTGAATGACTTTGGGCCTAACTCCAACAGCTGGATGACTAGGTCTTGTAGGTAAATAATTCCCTCTGAGCAAGAACTTGGCAACAGCGGAAAGAAAAAGACCCGAGTATAGCAGGGTTGTAGTCAAGTGGCTGATCAGTTTATGCTCCTGGTTACAAACACATGCTCCAAATGACGGCAAAAACCACATCAGATACGCACTGCTCAAAAAAATAAAGGGAAACAAAACATCCTAGATCTCAATGAATGAAATATTCCAGTTGAGAAGGAGGAGGTAGTGGTCCTGCTGCTGGGTTGTTGACCTCCTACAGCCCCCTCCACGTCTCCTGGCATCTCCTCCAGGCTGAGAGACACAACAAACCTTCTTGCCACAGCTTGCTTTGATGTGCCATCCTGGATGAGCTGCACTACCTGAGCAGCTTGTGTGGGTTGTAGACACCGCCTCATGCTACCTCTAGGGCTGAGAGCACTGACAAAAATGCAAAAGTGACCAAAACATCAGGCAGAAAGGACGAGAACAGAGACATGGTCTGTGGTCACCACCTGCAGAACCTCTCCTTTATAGGGGTGGTTCTGCTAACTGCCTCTCATCTCCACCTGGTGTCTGACTGGACAGGTTGATTTCACAGAAGTGTGACTGACTTGGAGTGACACTGTGTTGTTGAGGTGTTCCCTTTATTTTTTTGAGCAGTTGTATTAGATGGGATGTAAACTATCATGTCAACATTTATCTGTTTTTCTTTTATTAGTGGTCTCCTGCTGCCCTGTGGTGGAGTGTTTTCACTTTGGTGCTCATATGAAGGTCACACGTCAAAGTTGTGTTCAGGCTGATCAGACAGCATTTTACAGGCATGCCTCTGAAACCTTCCTTGCTCTCTTACTGTGCATCTGAAGCAGAGCACATCTTACAGGTAAACGCTCTGCACTGATGCAGCATATTCTTAACCCTAGCGAGGTGTTTCTCATTCACCCATCTACACTCACACATACACCGATGGTGGTGGAGCAGCCATAAAGGCCTACCATCGGAGCAACTAAAGACACTTGGCACATGGTGGAGCTGGGATCAAGCTGTCAACCTTACCACCCAGCTGCTGCAAGGGCTCAGCTCTGGAGATAACGCTTAAAATCCACTTCCAGACACTGTGTCGAACAAACACATGTAGGACGTGTGGGATCAATACAGTTTCCAGACGTAGGAGAGAGTGGCTGTGTGCTGATGATTTCTATCTTTAGTTATGTCATGGTGATCACACATAGCTTTATTAAACCAACACATTTCGTCTGGGTCATTTTTTCAGACTTGTAAAGTAGGCTACTAGAGAGAGTTTTTAGTTCTGCTGCTTAGATGTAAATAATGTGCAATAGTGGCATTATTCCAGGTGATCAAGTGTAAAAAAAATAAAACAAAATAGGGCAACAGACAGACTAAAAATAAAAAGACAACTTATCACACTCAGCCTTTAAGTCACTGTAGATACTTGGTCATAACAGATATAAGGTATTGAGACAATAAAGGGCAGGAATGTCAGCGTCTCCTGAAGCACAAAATAAATCGTACTGATGGTGATGCATGGAGTAAGTAGTATGCTAACGGAAACCCTTTGGGATTTCACAGTGCATCGTGGAGGACGGCTTTAAACAGTAGAAGCTGAAAAACAATCATCATCATAACAACGCAGGACGGATGGGGCTAATTAAGTCTCTAAAGTAGCCGACTCTCCTTCAGCCCTTTGGTGACACTGAAACAAGCAATCATTTCATTTTGCAAAGGTGTCCTCACCGGGATGCGAACCGGCGACCTTCTAGCTGCGAGGCAACAGTGCTATGCCCCGAGCCGCCTTGCAGCCCCAAAGGAAACCCAGTTTCTCTAATCCTGTTTATTGAAACCATCTTTCTTAATAAAATGACATTTAGCTCACTGGAAAAAGCAAACGGTCACTAAAGCCATGTAGTGATGTTGTCTTGATTTTCATACACTTTGACACAAACAAAAATCCCTCTTTATGTCGTGCATATTTTTTTACCACATGTCTGCTTCTCTCTGCAGTCGGCTGAGGAATGACTTCTCTTTCGTTTGCGGTTTGGTACAGAGGGAGCTGGCTTTGTTCGAGCGGGGCCAACGTGTGATCCTGATGGGGAACAACAAATAACTGGCTGTGGACCTGGAGAGGGACATTAGTTATGAAGTTAAAAGATGAAATAAAAAGGCACATTGTTAAACAAACAAAAAACACTTAAACACACACAGCCTGACACCTAGTGACCCACCTGTTCGTCTGTGAGGTGCAGTGTCCTTGCTCTGCGCTGTTCCTCTGGGTGAAATGTAGCGTACTGATGTCTCCTCCAGGTACTTATCAACAGGATCTGGGCACACTGAAAACAACATCTGATTTCTGAAGTGGTTCGTAATTGCAATGCTAATCATCCTCAAACCAGTGGAACATGAGGGGACAGCGCTGCAACATTACACTCGTCACCTCAGTCAAATACACACCAGCATGTTCTTTTTTTTTTTTCTTTTGCTGGCTGGAAATACCGTCATATCTCTGTTCCAAGCAATAATGTGTAAACAAGGGTGCTAAAGGGAAGCTTAGAGAAATTCAAGACACAATAAAGCTGTATGTGCTGCATGTAGCGCATCACTTCATTATTTGCCAGCCACCATGAAACAAAGAAAGGACGAGAATTGTTGTTCGGCATTAAAAGGAAAAGATGAAGAGTGATACTGTCACACAGTGAGTTATCCTCTGGAGGGTCTCAGGGGCGCTGGAGATTATTCCAGTTGCCTTAGGGTGAAGGTAGAGTTCACCCTGGACAGGTCAGCAGTCCATCACAGGGCCAAAACAGAGAGACAGACAACCATGCAAACTCACTCACTCACTCACTCACTCACTCACTCACTTACTCACTCACTCACTCACTCACTCACTCACTCACTCACTCACTCACTGCATCATCTACACCTGCTTCATCCTGTAGAGCATAGGTGTCAAACTCAGGCCCACGTCTCTTGGAGCTGGCCCGCCGGTATACAGCGTATACATCGTTAATACTACACATCCCAGAATGCTCTGCTAGTGTGTTGGCGTGTCAATGACGACCCGCAAGCGTCCCCTACCCCTTCTGTTCATTAGCATTCATAGCATTAGCAACGATGCTAACCACCGAGCCACCTTGCAGCCGAAAATGAAAGCCACCCCTCATAAAAAAATGACCAAACGAAAAATGGAAAACAGCAGCTTTCAAGACAGGTGGGAGGCAGACTATCTGTTCACGAATGTAAAGGACAAACCTTAATTTAGCTTTACTTAGTCCAGATTTAATGTTTCAGCTAAACCTAAGTTTGTTACCATGTGAAAAAGTTTATCATTAAATATCTGGAGAGAAAGGAAAACATGCACAACTGGCCCACGGTGTGTTTGAGTTTGACACCGATGCTGTAGAGGATCACTGGGGGGCTGGAGCATCTCCAGCGGCCCACACAGACAAACATGCATGCTCACAGCCACACCTACAGCCAACCGAGTCTTCAATTAAACTCACACAGGCATAGAGAGAACATGCAAACTCCACACAGAGAGGCCCCTGCCAACCAGGAGATTCAAACTCAGAACCTCACAGGACCTGCTTACGGTGCTAACCCCTGCCCCACTCACAACCAATCAGAGTTTAAGTCTGATGCGCTCACAGCGAACACACTGCTTTACTCACCAGCCTGCCGTTTCCTGAGTGTGACATAAGGCAAAAGGTCATGCCGGGTGATAATCCTCAGAAGCTGGAGGACGTGCCGGAAGTTGGTCTCATCACAGCGACCTTGGCGCTCCAGCGCCAGCAGGAAATCTCTTCCGCTCCTGATGCCACCACGCTCATACTCATCAATGACATCAACAAAAAGGAACGACAGTACCCTGACATCCCGGTGCGTTAGCTGGGCTCCAACTATGTCAAACATGCGGTGGAGTGAGTATAGCCCATGGGAGTTGTCCACTGCTTCCTCCGGCCATGGCTCAAAGCCCCCATCTCTTCTGGACAAGCTGGAGTTGGTGGAGGAAGCGGAAACATTCCTGTTGGCCAGTGCCCCACTGGCGGCTGCTACACCGGAGCAGCCTGGTCTGCCTGCCAGAGCTCTGTGTTCAAGAGGCCCAGCATTTGCACTGCTCTGACTTGAGTCCAGCTGGTTGGCCTGAATGTGAGGCCGGGCATGCTGAGCAGAGGAGTTCTGAGCAAGCTGGGGAGGAATGACAGCGTTGGGGAGCTGTGGTTGTTGTGATGTCATCTCAGGGGGCGACGGTGACAAGGGATGCTAGAATCCCTGCAACTCCAGCTGTCTTCCTTTCTCCAACCGATGAGCTGGGGAGAGTGGAGGATCATATGTATAAATGATAGAAAGTCATTTCTGAGTGAATATAAGTGAGTAGAATCCTTAATATAAAAGCAACAACACAATACCCACAGCTTATTACTGTTAAAGCAATTCAAGTGTACTGTCAGGAGAAAAAAAAAACCACAAGGCTCAAACATTTCATAACACTGGAAGCATTAGGTCATTGTGGGCAATCTTTAAATCAATGAGCCAGACTATAAAACATTTTTGCTGAAACCAGTTTGATTCTACTGCAAATGTCAAGTCACATTTTAGAACATTCTTCTACAATGATAACTCTGCCACCTCCAAGTCTACAGCGATGTCAAATATTTAACCTGCACTGCAATCACAAATCAGTGTTGGGCATAAAAATTGAGGTTAAATATAACAATTTTTGTTATAAATACAACAATAGCTGTCACTGAAACTCCACCGTCTATTGATAACTACTGTGTTTAGTGTGAAGCACCTGCCCATCAGTGTTCCAGTGGTTGACTGTAACTCCACACTGGCAAGGCGTTGGCAAACTGACAATTTAGCATATGACCTGCTTTTTAGAGGAATCTACAGATCGCGTCATTAAGGGTGCTATATTTGAGCGTTCTTTTTTGAAAGTTCAGCCAACCAGTTAGTCTCAGCCGGTCCCTTCTTGTGTTTCTGTATCACGACTCCTGTCAGGCGGACAGCAGCCACAGTGGATCTCACAGAGAGAGAGCATAACAAGGACTACCGTCACCAACTGCAATCCAAGACAGTGGAGTTGGAGGCTGTCGTTGGGACGAGAGTGTCACTGGAGAGACAGCTGAATAACAATCAGTCTGCAGTAATCAGAATCAGAATCAGAAAGCTTTTAATTGCCAAGTGAGCTTGCACACACAAGGAATTAGCCGTGGTGAATGAGGCTGGTACATCACAATAACAAGACAAGAATAAATATAGAAATTAAAAGTACTATGTAGATCAAAAGTACTATGAGAACAGAAATAAGCCACGTAATAAATTAGGGACCAGTTTGAATACAATACAATATTGCACGTGAAATTGAAGAATTGCACATAATAGTAATGCACAGAGGTAGTGCAACAGGATTCTTTGGTGATTTACTGACTGACAGTAAAGGAAACATGAGACAGGACACGCTAGGACTAGCTTCTAAGGAGCGACTGAACTTTCATAACAAGCACCAAAATGGCGGAAATGTAAACCACTACTTCAAGTCAGAACTTTTTGAATAAACCCAGAGCAAAAACATGATGCACAGATTTGTGAGATCGATCTTTGATCTTGAGTTGAAGTGACCAGGTTACCATATGCACATGTAATCACATGAAGCTTAACTAAAATCATATCGCCCAGCCCCGGCACTGTCCATGGTGTCATTAAAGGAGGAAGGCCACTGTTACTCTGTATAACGATACTACAGCTCACCCTATAAATCTGTAATCTGTGCCTGTATTTTTGTTGTATCAGTTCCAAACTATTTGTTTTTGGTTGCTTGTAAGATAAAATGCAGTTCTTGTTAGCTTGGAAATAATGCATTTAGGTGATATTTCACGACGTGGTACTCACATCTGTTGTAGTTAAACCTTAGAACATGAACTGTGACTGGAATTATTGAGATGTAGTAGTACTGTGTACTTTCTACCAGAAATTAATGCAATGAAGACCTTTTTTTTTCTCCATTCCATTTTACACACAAAATAATGTAGTAAACATATGGTAGCAAACTAAATATGATATCGGACCCAACTACCAAATGGTGTTTAGATGCTTTTCACAGGACACAGCAGGTAGCTTGAGATCAGGGAACATGTACTATCCAGGTGTTGCTTTACCTGATTATATATTAAACTACGCCAAACTGTACTGGTGATATCTGTAATCCTGGTTGTCTGTGTTCTTCGAGCATGTAACCAGGAAGCATGGAGGCACATAAAATTAATGATGACTCTTATTGTGTGAAGCTGCAGGATCTCCACTGTGCAGGCTCACAGTCAAAAATGTCACTTAAACAGAGGAGCCCTTGTCAATGTGCTTTTAATGCAAATATGTGCAGTGAGAAGTCTTAATGCAATACTGTCTTAACGACTGCAAAAATATATATAAACACAAGAGATCACTGCTATTAATCACTCCCAAGGCCGTTTGAACTGCAAGTGCCACAACGAGGTCAAAGGCTAAGGGTCCGGCTATCAGTCAAGACGAAGCTAGTTTAGCTCACACAAGAAGGAGCAGACTGTGTACGAATCCAGTCTTTAATACTGTAGACCTGAGCCCCCTAACATGTTCAGCTGTGCAGAACAATAGATAACGAGCTAACAACTAGCTAGGCACCTGACGAAAGTTAGCTAAAAAGCTACCGACAGTGAAGCAGGAATTATAAAACGCAAGTTGTTGACGTGTAGTTGCTGCACAGAAAATGGAGGGGATGCTTTCTAATCCCCTTTGTGTCTCCAACGACTAAACAGTCAAGAATTTGCTGTGGTCACGTAAAACTGTGCACGATATTACACACACAGTCCTGATTTGCGTAGTTGTTGTGACTGCTGGTTGCTAGATTCAGTCCACGTCTGCTGCAAGTGTTAACCCAAACTAACGCACCGAGAAGCGACAAATAACACAGACACTCAACGTGACAAAAGATAAACGTCATTGTCAAAAGAATTATGTACATTACCTTCTACCTTTTGGATATTCCTGACGAAAACGATACTATCAAAGTTCGGTATGCAGCTAACGCTATGTTAGCTTCCCAGTGTCTGATGGCAAAGCTGCTCTCAGGACACAAACCACGTTTAGCTTCGTTTAAGGGTTTCAGTCGACTACACGGTGAATGTTCAACACACAGCTCTCCGGTCTCTTTATGTGTCGCAGCGTGTCTTTCAGGCCAGAAATAAGAGTTGGTGTTGGTGCTCAGAAAGACACCATGGGGAAAATAAGCAAACAGTTTTCGTTCTAAGCTAAAATGAAAGAACTTCCGGTTAACGGCACGGTTCACTTCCGGTGTAACGGTTTCACAAGCTTTTTTTTTTCTTCTTTTTTTTTAAGCTTTTATTTAAAAAAAAAAAAAATTTGTAATGTAATCATGACATACAACTCCAGTGAGCGTTTCATAATATATGCATAAAGGCAAAAAAAAGAAACTAATTTTTTATTGCGTCGTTTTTAGATGTAAACGGAGACTTTTGGCCATCCGGTGCAATATTACTTTGTTCGCGGTTACTTCTTCACGAATTTTAATCTATGAAAGTAAAAGTTGGCTAAAATAATGACCAAAAACAATTACATATAGTGGAGGATAAGAGAAAAAAGAAACAAGGATTGTGAATATTGGAAACTTATTGGTTTACTAGTCGTCTTATTCTGTGTTTCATGTAAACGCTTTGTTCTGGAACGATTGCTAATGATTTCACTGACAGAATAACATACAGTATACTTATGACACCCCTGTGAAACATGACTTAAAAATTAAATTATTCAAAATTGCATCACTTCACAGTTATTGCTTGACTTCTGCGTTGAACATTAGCTCTTATATGAAATCAAAAACTAACATTTTAGTGGAAACTGAATGCAGTAAAAGTAAGCATTTCTCATTGCTGAGATTCATATGTGTTTTTCAATACATTGTACACATTCATTTATTTTGGATGACAGACACAGTCCTCCTCAGCGGGCAGTGTTGCCAGTGTTGCATAAAGTTCTGGAGAGATATTCTGCCATTCCTCACAGAGACATTTTCTCAGCTGCTCATTGAAGGAGGAGATGTGTTGCTCTATCGTCTCTTCTAATTAGACACAAGTCAAGTGACATACTTTAGAGTGCTCTTCAACCATGTGAACGTTAACCTAACATCAAGGCAGCTGTTTACACTAATCTTCTGATGAAGGCGAAATTCACATATTTAAAAAAAAGAAAAAAGAAAAAGTACTTCTATAACACGTTTATGTGTTATAGAAGTATTGTAAATAAATTAATTTATTGAGTACTAATTACCATAAATTACAGTTTTCCTCTTCGTCTTTATAAATTCAAATCACCCGCTTTGAACTTCCGGGACTAGCTTCAGCTCCGTGTGTCACGTGACCTCCACTGTCGCACCTCTCTCTTTCTGATGATAATCTTCCCCGACCAATATACGAGTCTGTACACAGTCTCCAACATCTCTAAACCTTTAAAAATGCAAAACAGGCGATCTGTAATGTTTGTGGATCATTTATTCGTCATTAATTCTCCTATAAATCCACATCAGATCAGGTGGACGAAGCCAGACAGAGAAAACAATGATTACAAGGCAAACACAACACAGTAGCTACACAGGACCACAGCTACTACTGACCAGTCAGATATTCAGACTGTCAGGACTGAAACGTCTCTACAGCTTTAACAATCCCCACATTCGTCAGCAGACACATTGCTGTTGTTAAACAGAACTAAATCAGCCCAGTGTTAGCCCATGCTAGGACTGTATATCGTCTGCAGTTCATGATGTGTGATTGAATGAGTCCAGACTCTCTGGCTGATAAGCATCAACCACACACGTAGAATGAGCCTTCAAAATGAATAGACATACAAATAAGATATGCAAATCAACTAAAATCAAACGCTTCTATCAAACCTCATGTTGTTGAGTCACTGGTGAGAGTCACACATTCCCATCATGCCTTGAGGCCGTGCAGTTGCTAAAGAGCAGCTGCAGCTGTCCTGATCTGATGATATTCAGTCGCAGCAGGTCAGAGCTATGGAACCGGCTTCACTGTGGTGATGGAGTCTGTACAGGTCTGACTCATGTCCAACGAGCCTTATTAGATACTTCCTGGAAGTTTTAAGCAGGTGATTTGAATTCATTAGCTTTTATTTATACAGGGAATGAGAGTAGATACTGTCTTTTTCATTGGTGCCCTGTAAGCATGACAATAAGCAAAGAGCACATTTTTCAGCTAAAAGATAGAAAAAATACAGAATAAAATACAAAGAATAGATATTTACACAGACATACACTCTCACATACAGAATAAACGCCACAGACAATCAAAATAAAACTCTCTTAACACATACAGAATAAACAATCATAAGTTAGAGAAAGTGTACAAGTTAAAAGTAAAGAAAACACTCATACTGCTTCCATGTTGGACACCAGGGCCTCAAACCTGTCCAATGGGATCAGACTATCTCATCTCAACAGGTTTTGAGTTTTGTTCCAGTACTTGGGTGCATAAAATGTAATTAAAAGCTTGTTTCCCGACCTTAGTTTTAATGAGTGTGTTTTCAGTAATTCCTTAGTAATTTAGGGTCTAATTAGCCTCAGTGATCTGAATATTAATGTCATCTTACAGGCTTGCAGATAAGACAGAAGACGACCAACAGCTGTTAATGTACTAATGGACTAACAGCTGCAGCAGCACATTAATGTGTTGTCTCAGGAAACTCGTTAATTCATCGTTTATAATTTCTAAACAAGGATAGATATTATATTCAAACTTATTCATTAACAAATGCAAGTAATTTTTTGTTTGTGTCCTTTAGTCCATGCAACAGCAACAATAAAAACGTTGGGCAATCTTATTCAAACCATGCATTTGAACACTTCTACAAACAAAGACCACTCAACTGGGAAGGTTCAGTTTTGGTTTATTCAAAATAAAAAACAAGGAAACGCCTGCAAACCCAGGAAGCCAAGACTCCGACTGCTGGTCTCACTGTAGGAAGTGTTCAGCCTCCACCGAATCCCCCTGTGGTTCTTGTGCTGAAAGATTGCAACCTCTTATCCCATTTCCCTAATTGCACATCCTCAGTTCCTTTCCTCGACTCCTCTCCTCACGTCTTAGTCCGTCCCACCACGAGGAGGAGATGCGAGGAAAGAGGAGTCAAGGCAAAAGGTTTTGAACAGTATGGAGACATCCTCACCTGAGCATCTTCGCTCACAGCTCCTCCAGCAAGTGTTCTCGATCCTCGATACGCATTTTAGGAAATGACTCTGTTATGATGCACCAAGATAGATTTCGGTGTCACAGGACGGAGGATTAAGGAGTCAAGAAAGCTGAAATTAGTGAAATGAGACGAGCCTCAAGAGTTAGAGAAGGAGGAAAAAAACTCACATGTATGGGCTTGGACAGGGAGATGAAGTGTGGTGTTGTTTTCTAATCTTAAGCTTGATTAGTTGTGATCATTAACGGCCTTTGCTGCTGATGTTTAGCAACATGACAAGTACCATCAGTTCCTCATGTGATATGGATTTATATAAAATCGTCTTTTAGTTGTGAGTGTAAAGTGCTGCCTCATGCTGTGCATTCAGCTACTGTGGGTAGAAATGAGTTGTAGTGAGAAGTGAACTGTCTATGCAGCATTACGTATAATATATATTACATGTGTAGTGTGATTACTGATATAAATAATACAACATTAGAGTACAATACCTTATAATAAACTTTATTTGTGCAGCACGTTTCACAAACGAGTTTACAAAGTTCTTCACAGGCATAAACAAATAAAAATGCACAATACACAAAGATTGATAACAAGATTTTCTTAATATAACACTGTTATAATACACGTTTGGTTAGACTACGTTAATAATACAGAAGTAGTAATAACACTTTTAATATTTAGTACGTTTATTATGATTTGTTTTTCTAAATTGCTGACCTTTTTTAAACTGACCTTGTGTTTTGAAGCGTGCTTATATCTTCCTTCTTCTCTTTCTTCTTTGCCATCCGTCCAGAACCCGCTGAGCAGCAGCACAACATTATAATCAGGTAATAGTCAATTATGTCCTCTAAATTATTATTTGTAACAGTGTTGTGTAACATTAATTATATTATACTAGTGTGCAGTCGTGTATTTTACTAAAATGGACTTCGTGATATCATCATCTCCATCCCACCCTCCAGTCACACCTCAGTACTGAATTAAAATCATGTTGAACTCTCTGCTGCACCTGTCACTTTGGATGCTTTTTAATTTTGTCTAATTCCACAACTTTGAATGAGGTCACATAGAGAGAACTGAATTTGCAATTAATAGGCTGTTAGTGGTTAACTTTAACCCAGCACCAGAGCCCAGTCAGAATAATAATAATAATAATAACAACGATAATAATAATAATAATAATAATAATAATAATAATAATAATAATAATAATACATTTTATTTCTCTTGCACTTCATATTGTCACAATCTCAAAGTGCTACGGGGTAAAACAAAATAGTTAATGTTACTAAAACGGTTTATAAGAACAGTCAAAAAAAAATAGGAGAATCTAATAAAAGAGTTCAGCAAAATGTTTCTGAATAAGATATGTTTTAAGATATCTTTTAAAATCATCTGCAGACTGTGGAGCCCTCAGGTGGTCAGGCGCCAGTGGTTATCTGGTAATGGTCCTTAAACCCACTAATCTACTGTTGAATATTCCTCTGACATACAGTCGTCCTCAGATGTATTCACACCCTCCCATTAAAGAAGGAAGACAACAGCTGTCATAAGTTGAAATTGTAAATATAATAAATAAATATGTAATGAATATCATGACATTGCTTTTGAATTGTGGTTCAACAGAAATATTTTAAAAAGAAAAAGCACATGTAAACAAGCATGATGGGACCCGTGAACTAATATTTAGTTGAACAACCCTCTGAGCCAATCACTGCCATCATCAGGTGTTTCTGTGACTCTCAGTCAGACTTGTGCACCTGTTGACAGGTGTTTGGATTTCACTGCTCATCAGCAAAGGGCTCTGATTTGTCCGGGATATATTGTTTGTTTTTTTTTAAATTATTCTTCTCAACCACAGTTCAAAAGCAATGTCTCATTTCACTAAATTATAATTTAGAAAATTTTTATTAATTATTACTTTTTTCAGTTTCTAGTTATTTTAGTGACTATTGTGAGTTTAGTCTTTTCTTTAATGGAAGAGTGTGAATACATCTGACTGTTTATGTAATAATACTGGATTCTGCTGTGCTCAGGTTATAAGAAACAGTACTCTTTAAAGGTCTTACCTTGAACCCTCTGTGTCACCACCAGCTGTTCTGGTTCCGGACGGCCCCGGCCTGGATGTGGGCCGCGGACCAGCAGGAAGCTCGCGGCGGCCTGCGTGCCGCTTTAAGAGGCGTGACCGCGCGGAGTGCGTGTAGCCGACAAGCCCGCACAGCATCCCGGAGAGGAGCTTCATCTGAGGCTGGATTCGGATCCAGGAGAGACGCGAGAACCGCTCAGAGGTGAGTCCGTTCGGTGTTTGTCGGTGTCCCCGCTGCTTGTGTTGACCGGCCGCCGGAGGGGCCGCCTGCCGGCCCTTGACTCACGCTGTCCCTCCGTTATTCAGCAGCCAGTTTGAAAATGGCCACAGACGAGCTGTCGTCCAAGCTGAACCGTCGGCTGCAGATAGAAGACGGAAGCGAGGAGCCCGTGGCCGTGGACGTGCCCGGGGAGCAGAACGGCTCCGAGGACAAGGCGAGCACCGCCAACGCCGACTCGGAGCTGGGCGCCAAGCTGCTCCGGAGGGGCGAGCTGAACGAGGGCCAGGCCGAGCCGAGCCAGCCCAGCATGAAGGTGTTCAACCCTTACACCGAGTTCAAGGAGTTCTCCCGGAAGCAGATCAAAGACATGGAGAAGATGTTCAAAACGTGAGTGGACGGGCCAGACCGGTTCCCCTGGTCCATGTGATCACAGGTTCGGTCAGGGAAGTAGACTGGTTCATACAAGGAAGTCAGTGACCCAGATCACCTATTAGTGTCCCAGCAGCAGGAGCTTTGGTGTTCAGGAATCCCTGGTTAATGAGAGAATCAGTGGAAGCAG